AGTGAATTGGTGAACAATCGTTGGAGGGAGAGTGAGTGCGATGCCAAGTTCAACAACGTTGCTCTTTAGCCTACGACGTCATGATTGATTTGACGTCACATGAAGCTTGCCAGCTGAACTCCCGCTTGTTAGCGAAGCTTATCAGCCCATCTTTCAAGCCTCAATTTATTTAGTAGGCCATCTGCCACCGTTAGTTTCTGATTATTGATCGTGTTCACCAGTAGCAATCATCGGCGCTAGTATTCGCAGCCAATATGAGTGAAGCGCAGACAACCTGGCTGCGAGCTCACCGCCGGCACAGTTTATTTCCAGTAAGCTTGTCCGCAAGAGAATAGAGTGAGGTCTTGAATGCTGAATAAATACAGATGAATACGCAAGCATTTATAAGCCAGATTCTAAGGCTATGATGCCATAGACGCGGGTTCAAGACTAGACTCGGTAATTAAGAATTAGTTAAGTTGACGGATCTTCGTCGTCGTCTCAACACACTAGCTATCGAATTGAGACCCTGGACCCGGCATCTGCGCACCAGGCGAACCCTTCTTTTTACAGCCAGCCCGTCTTGGCAATCGGTTCATCTAGTTTCGTCCAAAGACCGTTCACCCGTTCACGCAGCCGGAGCTACCTTCGTTGCCGGAGCCCGATCCTGTGGACCCAACGGCATCCACCATCGGGTTCGATCCCGAGATGGACCCAAGACGGCCCAGAAATCACGGTTGAAAGCCATCGAGACACAGAGAATAAATCGGTGAAAGCATAAATGGGTAACTGTATCGAAGGAAGAATCTAGGGTCTCCTGGCCATGCCAGGTCTTGGGTTCATGGCTATCTTCTGCGTAGAGGGCGAACGATCCTTCATGAATGATGAAGGCACCACGGATACTCGAGAACTCGGTTGGTACGTAGTGCAACCTTCATTGGATCCGGTCCATGGATGTACTGTACTGTCAGATTGAGGCTGGCAACCCATATCGCCCATACCTGTTGTGTAAGGTTATCCCGCTTCAACAAACATGGCCCCTAGCCCTCTGCAGCTTACAAACATGGCAGCCCTCCCATTCCCACCCACAAAATGGAGCTTCCGCAATGGCTACCCAAGCAGGTAGTCATGAGCCCAAAACGGCCAAGACATTTGCAGCATCCTTTCGCAGTCAATTGCCATATTCGTCTTAGTAGCCTTGATAGCGAGGAACCCATGGAGTATCCAGTGTGCCTCTACTCACACTGGCCAACCATGAGTTGCCATGAGGGATTGAAATGTTATCAATTCTTGGAGAGCACCGCTCTCGAAGATACCGCCCGCTCTGAGAGTTCTAATGCTGCTGGTTTTGAACCAGGTCGGGCGGAGAGCTGCTACGGAACCCGACGGCTCCGAGCCTCCAGCCTCGCGGGTCATAAGCTGTGTTACCAAACAGCATCTTGGTGTCATTGTTGGCCTCTCTTCTAGACATGTGATACCAACCTCCAAGTGCAGAGTACATAAGTAACTCAACGATAGGTGGCTTGCTTCCAGCCGCCGTGCATTCTGAGAGATGGTCGGCCAAGGCTACCATTCCTGGGCTTTACTCAAATCTTTGTGTAAGTTCAGTCTTTTTTTCGGTCAAACTCCAGCGAGCCAATATTTGATTAATCGTGCTTCACTGGGAGAGTTCATCCGATTATCACAGTGCTATCCAGGATAAGGTCAACAATTGCCTGTCAATTCTCTTCGGTTCATTTGCAAATATACATGATCGGTCCCGATCTTCCGCAGTTTTCCAACGCCTTATTGCTTCGCCTCGCTCTGTCCAGGGATGAAAGGCTTGCCATCACCAGGGCCAATGCGCACGTCGGCAAAGATCTGCTTCGGTCGGAGCTCGACGGGGGTGACGTTTGTGGGCTGGTCCGGGATCTTCTTCTCGAGTTTCTGTCTTGGTGTTAGTAATTATCATTCTCGGCCGCCTGTGTTAAGTCCAAGGCAAGGAAGCTCAGCTTGACATACCAAGTTGTCATAAACACACTTGTTGAGCTTCCATTCCGCAGGGCGGCACTGCCACAGCTGATGATTTCGGTCGTCGAGACACTCCCAGTGTTTGCGGAACTCGGCAAGGCAGTGAGTGTTGATGTCCTTGATGCTGTTGAGTTGTAATCGGGTCAGCGGAAGCCCATCATTGTCTACGGTCAATTCTCCTCGCCCGAGAACGAAACCGTTGAGGCATTTGTATTCTAGGTAGAACGTACACGCTGGAGGCGCATCGGGTGACTCGTCGGCCTTCCTTCAAGCACTCAAACTCTCCTCGACCGGGGTTCTCGGTCTTGCACTGCATGTAATCATCGTTGTAATCGCGGCATCGGGCACCGATGAAGAAAGAGGCCGAGAGTAGAGGCGCAGAACTGGCACCGATCTCCTTGACGGGGGGAATGTCACTAGGGAGAGGGGTGGTATCGATAAACAACTGCTGGTTGAACCTGGCTGAGGGTTAGCCATTTATTTTCCCACAGTCGTGCGTTTCCACGGGGGCCAATTGGCATCTCGGATGGAGATAGAGCGATCGGAGGTCGATCGGAGAACGTACTGGGGGCGTCGGGCGGCCATGGTGGTGGTGTTTTGCGCGGCTGGGCGAGGAGCGATGCGGTGATTCCAGAGTCGGAAGTTGAATGCTAAGGTCAATCGGCTAGGAATTGAGAGTGGTGATGTTGGAATTGGTCCTCCGTGATTGGTCGAGCTGTGGGGCGAGGCTGCGAAGAGGAAAGGTACAAGGTACAAGGTACCGACCGGTGGTGGCCTGGTCCAAGCTGAAGCAGCCGCGAGCTACGAATCTGTTTTCGCGTTCCAGCTCCAATAATTTCGAGCCGCCAGCAAACAAAGAAGCTGGACCCTTTCTTCAGCCTGCCAACCACGACACCACCCTCTGGAGCTCTTGTCGCGCGAAACCACCGAAACATTGTTGCGAACTCCCGGCCGCTCGATAAGCACTCACTTTCCTCCTGTCAAGCCGGCTGGTTGCTCAGCCGATAGCTTTTGCTCTCCTCCGAGTGGGACCAACCGCCATCAACACCCCGATTTCGCATTTTGCGACATCATACAGTCGCCGCCATGTCACTATTCAGCCAAGCACCGAAAACCTCTTTCTTTGGGCAGCCACAGCCTATACAGACTCAGCCTCAACAGCAGGCGAATCCCCTGGGAGGTTCCATCGTTGGTCAACAGCAACAACCTCAGCAGATGCCTACTCTCTCACAGTCGCACGCGCAGCTGTCCAGTTCACTATGGCAACCCGACAAGGAGAATCCTCGTACGTCTTCTCATTGCTTCCTATGGTCTGCATGACACGGAACTAATCATCACGATAGATCAGAAACCCATCCTCGAGCAGATGAAACTCGTGACGGAGAAATGGGACCCTGCGAACCCCAACTGCGTCTTCAAGCACTACTTCTACAACAAGGTCGAAGAATCCCACGTTCCCTTCTACAAGCCACAGCCGTTTGAGGACCCTCGAGAATGGGAGGAGGCCCTGCAGAACAAGCCCGCGCCAGGCTTTATGCCTGTGCTCTGCTCAGGGTACAGCGGTGTCGCCGACCGCTTGAAGACCCAGAAGCGAGCCGTTTCCGACTTCAACACCCGACTGCACCAGATCAACGGTGGCCTCGACGCCATCCTGCAGCGCCACGAGCTCGAGACCGAGGTGCGGGCTGTAGCTGCGCGACGACGACAGACAACCATCAGCGAGCGATGCCTGGCACTGGCCGCCCGAGTGCAGGTCCTACGAAATCGGGGATATGCGCTGAGCGGCGATGAGGACGATTTGAGCAGCCGCCTGCAGACCCTGGAGAGGGAGGTGCAGGATCCTGCGGTCAATGCCCGTGAGGAGGAGCTATGGAGCAGACTCATTATCCTGCGAGGATATGCCGATCAGCTAAACAAGGAGATGGATAGACCTTCTGGCGGAGAGGGAGAGGCTCTGGACCCAGACACGGAAGCCAAGGCAAAGAGGGTGAGTCTTTCCATTCCTATTTTACCTTGACACAAAACTAATCAATATCTAGGTATTGGAGGATTACGAGAAGCAGATTCAACACCTCAAGAAGGAACTGGAGGCTCTAGGCGTAGACTATCAGGAGTGGGAAAAGAACAGAAACCCACACGCACGATCGAGGTAATTCAGACGGGGGCGGGGGACATAGGCAGGATTGGATCAAAAGAGGAGTATATGGGGTCTTAATTCTTTTCAGGGTGTTTGGTATTTAGTAGTACATTAAAGAACAGGAGCAGGCAACTCAATACGGTTCATCTCAAGCCCGATGCCAAACCCAATGTCAACCAAGCCGTCTTCATATCATACATTTCAGTGAGATGGTCCAAAGATCATGAACATGGCGAGATTCTGCACCTAAAAGACCTTGCCGGCGAGCTCAATGGCGAAAGGAGCTGGCAGATGAGTTAGTGACGGCGTCCAAGGGTGACGGGCAAGTGCATTCCACATACAGAGGTACAGAAGGACGGCAGTGGTGATGGCACCTTGGACGGTGAAGTTGGCCTCGGCCTCAAGGGCGCGGATCTCCTCCTTGGACTGCTGGGGGGGCGCGACTGCGGAAAGGTCAGTTTGTGAAGATCAAAGGGCGCTGCATGTTGGCAGGACGTACATCCACCGAACATCTTGACAATAGTATATTGATGAGAGTTTTGAATAGAGTGGTGGAAGCTTAACAGGGGTGTCGAAACTCGAAGCGTACGGTCTTGTTATGTGTTATGATGCTATCGCAGACCTGATGTCAAGTCGTCCATGTCAAAAAAATTGGCATGCAAAATCGTGACGCACGGGCCATGTCTGATTGCCAGTTCCCTGCCTCCCGCGTTCAGGTGGATTTCCGTAGGTATCTGACATCGCCGGGTGTCCTCGGCCCGATGCAACCAGTCCAGGTGCCCAAAGTGAAGAGCATCAACCCAACAAACAATTCGACCAAAAAGGGGGCGCAAACACAAGCAAAAAGAGACAGGCTGGTATCCTGAGATTATTATGCTTCCGACAAGGCTTGAACTTGCGACCTTCGCATCACCAATATTTGGCCGTAGAGGCAAGTATTAGTACGAAGCTCTAACCAACTGAGCTACGAAAGCTGTCCGGATGGACTAGTTGCTTATGTCAGCAGTCTCGATAGTCTCCTTCATGAGCTGGGCACGTCAAGACAGACAATGCCGCAAGACCTGACGGTTTGATCCAACAACTACCTACCATCGGGAATCTTGCATGTCAACATGGTAATATATATCACCATGGGTTCTCTTTCTACCCTCAAGATTAGACACGCGAGAATCTTCCTCTGCTCCAGGTTCTTCTAATGGAGGCACGTTTAGAATCATCCACCCCTGTCCCTCATCCATGGTTCCCCTTCAATAGCAGCACTCACAGTCGCCTGTCTTTCATTTTATTCTTCCCTCTCGCTATATTATATCTTATTTCACTTCAGCCAGCTCCAATCGCACAGGTCGGACTTTTGCATCTGGAAGCCCTCGTATCACTCAATCAAATTGCACGAGGCACTCTACATCCCTCGCGGTGACCGTGAATTGAGGACTGTGGCTCTGTGTGCCAAGGATTCTTCATCGCATTTCTCCCATTCCAAGTGGGATAGGTCCCATGAATCTAGACACTTACACACGTCGTTGTTACTGCCAGTTGATATCAAGACCTACATAGACGTCCAGGCATGTACATTCAGGGGTACCAATCCCCTTAATTCTATTCTCATTCATGGGTCGTCGTAAAACCTTTGCAGTCATCTGACTTCTATATACACTCATTTTGTCATATGCCCACTTCACTCTCCTTTTCCCTTATTTTCTGCTCGTCTCTCACGCCTCAAAAACCAAGGCCACGCCGTCATCACCAGCCGTCACCACGCGCTCGCCCGTCTCACCCTGCACGAAACCAAGAACACCACCGCCCTCGCCATCGCCACGATGACCCTTCCACTCCTTCTGCAAGCCGGCCTCAGCAGCCGTGGCGGCAACGTTGGGGTTCGTAGAGCCCGCGCCGCGAATGTCCCAGCGTCGCACCACGCCGTCCATGCCACAGCTGGTCAGCTGCCACGAGTTGCGCACAAACTCGAGTTTGACGACCGAGTGCTCCTCGTGCGCACCAGCGATGTGGCGGCGTACGGCAAAGCGACGGGTGGCGTCGTAGACGACGATGGAGCCGTCGACGGAGCCAGCAGCTAGGAGAGTGGTGGGAGGAGAAACAGAAGCGACCGAGACGGCGAGGGTCTCGATACTGTCGGAGCCGGTTTGCAGAGCAGCGAGGATCACACCGCCAGTACCAGGGTCGGCGGATGCCTTACCACCGGCACCGCGAGCGCGGGACTGAGGCTTGGCAGGGGCAGCGGTAAGACGTGGAAGGGAGACAATCTTGATAGCGCCGGTAGCACCGCCGACAGCGACAAAGGCGCCTTTGGGGTCGATGGCGATGGAGTACAGACCACCCTCTACTTCGAAGCGCTGGTCCTCGCCGGTCAAGCCAACAGCCGTCATGCCGTTGTCACCCGCAATTCCCTTGGCAGCAGCCTCGCCCCAGACATCCCAAACGTAGAGACTGCTGTCCTCGGAGATGGTAGCCAGGAGCAGACCGTCGGGAGTCCATGCGCCCGCAGTGCAGGAGCCGGTGTGGAGGAAGTAAGACTGGACGATCTGGAGGGGGTTGGCAGAGTCGGAGGGATCGACGGTGTAGACCCAGACGGAGCCGTCCGAGGCACCCAGGGCAACGGCGTTGGGGTTGGTGGCCGAGGGGCACGGCGCGACCCAGTTGATCTCTTTGACTTCTTGAGTCTCGCCGAGGAAGCTCATCTTGAGGGGAGAGCCAGGGTTAGTGGTGGCTTTCCAAGCGCGCAATCGACCATCGAGACCGCCGCTGACAAGAACTTCGCCAGCGGGGAGCGTCCAGGCGAGAGTGTTGATGGAATCGGTGTGGCCATCGAGGCTGAATAGCGACTCGAGTTGTGTCGGCTTGGGGATCTCGGCGGAAGGGTCGCTGGCGTAACTAGCGGGCAGGACGGGTCGCGAGACGGCAGCGGAAGTATCAAAGACCCAGCCGGCACCAGGAGCATCGTCTTCCTGGCCAGCAGAGCCGCCGACGGCGATCAGGGAGGGGTGGGCGGGGTGCTGGGCGATGGCGAAGAGCGAGTCTTGGGGCAGGTCGAAGAAGGCGATGGAGTCGTTTTGCAGGTTGATTTCGACGTCCTCGTTGTCCGAGTCCATGGCGGCGTCATCGCCAGCCTGGATTTCTTCGGCGGCATCGTCGGCGTCGAGGAGATCGTCCTCGTCCATGTCGTCGATGGGTTGGTCTTTGGTGGGCTCGCGGGAGGAAGACATGATGGCGGGGTAATTAAGAGACGAAGCGAGGAGGTGCAAACAATGAGAGGAGGAAGAAACGTGTATGAACGAATCTGTTCAGTCCGTCGCAGTGCGGACAGCAGCGAGGGTGTTTAAATATTCCCACCGCAAGCTCTGAGGCGTTGGCGTTGCTCGTGCTTGATAAGCAGACTCTGTCCAGGCTTATTGATACTTTTTTTTCTGGTGGTTGACGGGACAGGGAATTTTTTCGAAACTGCGGGGTGGCATAATTGGGGACAACCAAAGCCCCGCCACCTTGTGAGATCTCTATTCGTACGTCTCTCATGAGACGAAAACAAATTGTAAGAGAGGGTATTATTAAGACACGGTTGGCCTGAGCCAGTATGAACTGCTAAATTGACTTCAAAGTATGAATCTTGAGAAGGTGCTCGTGCTAGACTAGAGTAGTATTTGAGCACAACGAGGTCGATCAAAATAGATCAGCCCATCCCTAATCCCTAAGACTCTCTCGTCAGCAACTCCTTGCATGCCTCGAGAAAGATATTAGAGGCCAGAAATCTCCATTTCCCTTCTTTGCTTCACATCCTTGTTGGTGGTATCATCGCTATCATCGCTCAAATCGCTCGACTCTTACAAAATTACCTCTCGTCCTCCGCGTCTTGTCATGAAGGTGAGACATGTCTCCCACCAGCTGGCGATGGAGTTGAATTACTCACAGCTGAAACGCTGAACTGTGGTGACGCCTCCGTTGCTTGACTAACACCCGCCACACTCAGCGACGGCGACGTCGCATCTTTCGTATAACCCGTCGTGCTCAATCCCGGTGATGATGTGGGCGCGTCGTCTCCTGGCAACTCTACAGGTGCAGTCGAATTCTCCAGCTCATGTGATTGAAATCGCTGCGATCCGTACAGCTCGCCCCTGGCCGTGTCGGGCGGTAGTTCCTTGCGCTCGCTGTCCGTTCCGAGTTCTGAGACGGGCTGTTTCTGCTGCTTGCGACGACGGTACCAGAACCAGGCACCGATGAGAGCAGCAATGGCGACGAGCGGTATCACGACAGCGATGGCAGCAATGGCACCCGTTGATAGACCACCGCCGGAGTCGTCATCATCATCGTCGTTGTCGTCGGAACTCTCGGTCTGTGTCGCGGATTGGCTCGACGAACTGGAGCTCACACTCGTCTCACTCGTCTCAGCCGTCGTCGATGTAGCGGTGTCGCTTTGGTCGTAAATCATTCGAATTCCGTACGCGTTGATGCCCTCTCCTCCCGACATGGTCACAGCCGAAGTCAGAGAAGTTGTCGAGCCGTCCGTAAGCACCGACGTCGAAGTCACCAGCAACACGGTCGCTGTGTCGCCCGCACTCCACGTGCAGAGCAGGTCCACCCAGACGGAGCTCAGAGATTCCGGGTCGGGTACACAGCTCATCACGACGTTGCTCCGCGACGGGCAGCAGGTCAAGGTGTACCGGGTGGCATCGTCCGAAGCGGAGCGGGTGCAGGACGACTGAGCGGAATAGCCATCGGGGCACTCCCAGGCTGGCGAGTAGTAAGCCGTCGCGGCCGTGGCGAAGTCTTCCGGGAGACAGGAGCTCGCCGAGTCCATGAGGACAACCACATCGCTGGTGATGGCGGTGCACTCGCGGGCATTGGTGTAGTCCGTGGGGAAGGTTCCTATGATGGAGGCGCTGCTTGCTGCAGCCGTGACTGTAGCTGTGACTTCTGCCATTTTGATCTGGGTGGTGGTGAGGAATCTCTTGCTAGTTTCCGTCGCCGACTTTGCTTCCCCAGATTCTTGGTGTCAAGTTAATCGAGTCGGGGCTCGATAGAGTTGCAGTGAGAGAAGACTCAACGTCGTCAACAACAGGGATTCGTCTCGCGATACATGGGGCTACCGTGTAACTCGGCGACGAGGCAATACGCGGTTGACAAAGCAAAAAAGAAGAAGAGAAAGAGAAAAGTCGCCAAACTTTGCTCCAAGTCCAAAGCACGACTTGCCCCCCGGCCCCCAGACAGGGCCTCAGACGAAGCCCCGTTGCGTTTGACCCTATCGACTCTTTGCTCTGCAGGGGAAGCTGAAAAGAGGAGCCCTGGCCCGTTGAGGGATCGACATCCTGGTCGGCCTCTCGCGCGGCCAGAGATGATACAGTCAATTAGCCGAGCTCTTCATTTAGCATCTCTAATCTTGATTTGGCCAAGATGCTCCGAGTGCAACACCGCGCCACGCAGAATGAGTTCTATCAATTAATTTCATTTGACTTCCGCGCGATTCTCAAAGAGCACACGCTCAGCATCAGTCAGATTTTAGACGCGTTGGTGATGCAACTTGAGACGGCCACTGTGCCACTCGGCCGATAGGTGCCTCTGACGAGACGCTGCAGTAGTTTGAGCTACGAATCTACAGCCAATCACATGTATCTCTTCGGTTCCTTCGTCCGTGAATTCATCGACGTATTCGCGCTTCGTCCGAACTCGTGGGTGTGGCTGTGCTGGTCGTGGTGGTTGATTCATTGGACGGCCGTAGGGCTAAGCGCGCAGACGCTGAAATTAGAATGTGAACCATGGAATGTTGCAGATATTGGGGGCAAGGAACTAACTAGATGACCTATTGTAGGTGTTCGTTCATACGACGTATTCTGTAATTCTAGCACGTGAATTTAATTTATCTTGAAAAAAAGTACAACCAGGCCCGATTACTGCAGATATTATACCCTCTCTACTTCATCCGTTTCTCGATTGGCCCAGGACTTCTCCATCACCTCAGCTACCGTCG